GAGTTCATAATATTGCTTTGGTGAGAGAGAAGATGTCCTCAGTTCGGCAAGCATAGTACTCGCACTCTTGAGGGCATCCATAAGCTGTTCAGAGTCCTATACGTTGGTAATGAGGTGGAGAACTACCATGAGGAACGTGGTCAACGAACCAAGTGACGTTTCATCTGGGCAACTTGTATCTTGACGGTGTTAAGGGAATCCGCCAGGAGCTTTCCCTCGTCTGGTGGCGGAGCTGGCGCCATCGTTATAGTCTGACCGTGGCCTTCGTCAAAAGCAACTTGGACCAAGTCAAAGACACCACATAATGCCAAAGCGCAAGTCACATCAGAATGTCTTGGAAAGCGATTCCGACTCAGATGTTGTAAGAGTTGACTTTGGAGATACGATCCTCTTTATCCGCTGATGCCTGCAGAGTTTTAGAAGGTGGTGGATGTGGACTTTGACTTCTGTGATTTCAAACCAGAAACCGATTACATATCGATAAAGCGTCTGCTTCAACAACTATTCCATACAGATGCAACGCTTTTTGATCTCGGAGCGATTGCGGATGTTGTCCTCTCTCAGGATGATGTAGGCAGCACTGTGAAGACCGACGGTGCTGACAGCGATCCTCTCGCCTTTTTAGGCGTCCTCAACCTTCATACCGATGGTGTAAGAGACATGAAATATAACCCGCTACGTACTCAGCTGCTAACCGATCTACAGAAACGAGAGGCAATCAAGTCGCTACTCAACTATCTTCTCAGCAAAATCTCAGTCAATGCCGAATTTTATCGGAGCCTCACCACTCTGTTAAACCAAATGACCCCAACGTCGCCTCACGTTGGTCTTATCATCGGCGAGCGGGTATATAATATGCCACCACAGGTAATGCCACCGTCATATAAAATGTTACTGGAGGAGATGGAGATGGCTATTGACGATGTGGGTAAAAAGATCCTTGGTCGAATAGACTCGTCTAAACTTTCTCCAGGGCAAACCTTATCAGTTTTCTCATTTCCTTATACTCTCAAGGGTTTGGAGGTCGACACCAGGTGAAGAGGTACCCGATGCACCAAGCTCCAAGAAGCGCAAGGTGATCGAAACATCAGTAAACCATTCGCTCTCGAAAACATACAACTTGCACCCTGAAGACGAGTGCATTCAACCCGTGCGTGTGTCCTCCTTGTGTCATGCGCTTCAAGTCTAATACTCCTACCAAGGAGGCCATATTTTCCCTGGACTTTGATTTTTCACACCAATATCCTCGAGAGAAGGACTCTTTTGGTCATGATCTAGGAGGAAGGATTATGCTTGTTTCTAAAGATCGACTCCCCCGAATTGTTCAAAACATGCAGGCCGCGTTCCCTCCTCCCTCGTGAGGACGCATAAAGTCAAAGCCCCAAAAGAACGGCCTTACGGTCGTAGACCGTGAATTTTTATAGGACGGTGCCTTCTCCCTTTGTCATTTCGCGGAAGGTGTCAGTGATCTGCTGGTGAAGTCGTTCTAGCCGTACCCTTGAGTATATATGAGTGAATAAAAATATTTGAAAACGCACTGGCTCTATCTACAGCATGTTTATATTCCTCGTTCGCTTGTTGCATCTCTTGCTCCAGTTGTCCCAAGCGTAGAGCCTATAACTCTGTCAATGGACGGCGATATAACTCCAGATAATTGGATAATACTACCTGTGATTCTTCAGGTTCAGGGG